AGTCTGGAAGAAGATAGGCTGATGACAGAGAGTGACCTTCACTAGTGCATTGCTATTATAACTACTCTTTCTGTTATCCATTACACTAGTCGAAAAAGAAGGCACATTGTAAATTTACCTCAGGCAGACATAAAAGAAATCAGAAATACACTCCTTTGAGAATCTCAGTCAGTTCTGTTTCTGCCATCTTCAGTTTAGAACTTTGGTGAACATACTCTTTAACAAGCCTGGCCATTTGTGCAAACCCTGAGGGCAATTTAGACTCAGGCTTAGCCAAAGCGGGGAAGCATCTTGAAGAAAAATGTGTACATAGAAATTTTCTGGTTAATGCTAACTAAGGGAAAGCCAGTGAATTGAATTGACAACCAGTTTGTGTTTATGCAAGGAATTTTTTTTCACTATTAACCAGGTTAAAACTAAATGTACTTCTTTCTTTTAGTTGAAAATAAATATTGCTTACACTGTTTATTCAATCACAGGTGGTTACATGTCGAAATGTGTTTTTTCTCCTAATTAGCTATTATATTAGCCGGTTGAATACCAACTGGTTAAAAAATGAATGAACTGTGGAATGTGGCATTTGCTTTTACTCTGCTTGTTAGAATGCCACTAGCTTCTCTCTGAAATATAATCTTTTAAGAGGGGTTAGAAAAAAGCAACTATCTTTGTAACTTAAACCTTCTGATTTGGAGCCTAAAAATAGATCCTGTTTGGTGAGGCTTCTGAAGTCATTTAAATCTACAAAAATCATTGAGAAATTCTCCTGTCCTTTGATGTTTTAGAATCTAAAATATAATAGAGCATTCATCTAGATACTTCATTCTTAGTTAAGATAATGTGTTGCACTACTTTTTTACAAATGTAGGATCCTTATATATGTTGCTTATTCTGAATTAAACTGAACATAAAACCATATTTTATAATTCATAAAAAAAAACTAAATAGGTGAAGTTCAGGAGTTCAAGAGATTAATTTGACTTTTTATGGAAACATTTGCAATAAATCCAAAGTTAATGAATATTCTGACACTTGATATATTTAAGGTTTATAGCTTCTTGAGCTTAATATCCAAAATAACCTTCAAAAGGTATACATAAATGCAATGAACCAGAAATAAAGGGCGTCAGAGGACTGACCAAGTCCCAATGTTGTATGTTAACCACATCATATCAGGCTAGATATGGAATGTGTATAGACTACCGAAAACGGCTTGATGATGGGTCTGTAGCTTCATCATAGTTGACAGAAGTAAAAATGTTTTAAAATAAATCTTCTAGAAACATCTCCAGCACCTTATAATAAATATATTACATGTTACTACTAAACTACAATAGAGATAATTATTTTGAGATAAAAGAAGTATTTGTTTTACGATTCTAAGTTTTTGTCTTTTTTTTTTGAAAGAAGGATTCTTGAGACAGACTGACTGCGTTCAAACCCTGGCTCTTCTACTTGTGAGCTTTGTAACCTTAGGCAAGTCACTTAAGATATCTGTACAACCATTTCCTTATCTGTAAAAGAGCTTTTAGGGCTACTGTGAGGTTTAAAAATGTATATAAGTATACATATATCTATGTATATATGCCTATATATATAAACACAGATATACGATGGTACTTCAAAAAGATCATGGATAGATTCATATTATCTTTTAATTCGATTTTTCACTAACTGAAATATGCTCGTATGTATACGTATATACACATGCACACATACACATGCACACACATACAGTGCTCGGAACAGAGTAAGCACAATATTAGTAGGTTATTTTTATTATGCTTACTTTGGTATAGAAAGCTAGTGGAAAAAATTGATCATGTTTGAAACAGAGTAAGGCTAGGCCTGTGAACCAAACTGACTCCATTTTCCCTGCAGAGGACACTTTGTTACTTTTCCACTCCTCAGTCATGAGACCCCCCCCAGGGCAAATGTTTACCCCATGGGCTTCCCTGACAAAATAGACTGAGAGAAGAGAGAAAACAGATATTTACTGACTTGCAAAACCCCTCCCCAAGGCTTGTTTATTATAATTGTAAAAGTTACAGATTAACCTTAAGACCCCTTTAGGGATTCCCACTTGTGCTCAAAGCATCAAGGTGACTGCTACAATGACCCTCCTGGGGTGACAATGATGAACACCACTGCCTACTGAGCATGCGCCCATGACGCAATCAGGAAGAACAGAAGAATCACCTCCAGTGACGCTGGCCTATACCCCTTAACTCCTTTCCCTATAAAAGACCCTGAACAGCTCCCCTCGGGAGGCTAGCCTTACTGTTGCTACCCCCCTTATGCATAAGTCTATCTCCTCTTTTAATAAAGCATTGCTTGATTTACTGTTGGGTACATTGTTTATTTCTATGACTTTGGAATCCAAGAGCCTAATTTAATCACTGGCAAAAATTGGAAAGCTTTGGACACCAGAAAAGACTCTAGCTGCAAGAGGCAAGTGGCCACTGGGACTATTTTGCTCCCATGTCTCTGCTGCTGGTAGATATCTCCTGGAGTCCCTGGCCTAAATTCTGACAAGGCAGTGCTTTATTCTCTTTACCTTTCTTTGATTTTCTGAGCCCTTTTCTGTTTGGTTGGAGTGTATCCACTCCTGTACAGGTGCACCCTGGAGGGCTCCTGGCTATACTTTGTTTTTCTGATTTAAATCTAGTAGATACTTTTCTTCTTTATGCTAGAAACAGTGGGGAGAACTATTTTTATCAACTACTGTTAATGGAATAGGTTTGCCCCACCCTTTAGGACTAGGCTAAACCGGACCCCACTGCTCCTCTTTTCTCTTTGTTTGTTTGCTTGGTTAGGCATTTAGTTGAGTACTGGCAATCTGAATAATCCTTCCAAAGCTTGCATCAACGTTTGGACTTTCACGTCATTTGTTTAATGCGAGAGGGCAAGCCGAGCCTGACCTGTCGGTAACATGTTCACAATTGCCTATGTTTAACCCTCTGTTTTGTCTTGATCAAACTTTAGTCAGGTTTCTCTCCTCCTTCTTACAGACCCCTGAACTTGGCTTGACCCCAAGTCTGAGCAAGTACTAAAAAAGTGGAACATGTCCCCAAATTCATCTTCTCCTAGGAATCCTACTGGACCCTACTGAATATTTCTCTTGTTTGTCCAGCTTCCTCTTAAAAGATTCTGCTTATCTCTGTTTGCCTGTCCTGACCCTATGCAAGAAAAGTCTTTTCTGTTGGGTTTTGAGACACTTGCAGATGTCTCAGATCATAGCCTTCTTCCTATTGCAATGGTCTTTGTTCTGTAAAAAGTCTCTCCCTATCTAAGTCCAAATTTTTTTTTTATTTGAGAAAAAAACATGCTTCACAAAGAACCTCATTTTCCATTGGTACTTCTATTGTGATTATATTGATGTTTTAAAATGTAATATTGAAGTGTTTTATATTGAAATGTCATGACCTAGGTGTTTTCTGAAACAGAACATGAGTTTATCCCAAAATGTTATACACAGAGTTGTAACTTTTTAAAACAAATATGTGTCCTATTTATGGAGTCCTATTTATTTACATGAGATAAAATTTGCCAATATTTCTGTTCTTCAGTATTCCAACTTTTCAATAACTGAGCTATAGGTCCATTTCCAAATTTAACCAGAATGGTTGAGAATGTTAGAACACGTAAAATCTGTAGAGTTTCTCTCTCTCTCTCTCTCTCTCTCTCTCTACACACACACACACACACACACACACACACACACACACACACACACACATCTATAAACACAAAGTATGCAGTAGCAGCCAGTGACATTTTACTATACTTGCTTCCTTTGTTTTAACTGGAGAACTCTTCTATAAACTTTTGCCTTCTGGGAGGAGCTGACTTTCAAAAATTCATCAGTCCAAGGCTCCAGTGATACTCAAGATAGTTTAGACAGGCAATTGAAAACTCTCAGAAGGGTATATTGATTTAAAACTCTCTGATGCACTTATTTTAGTTTATCTCTCAAGCATTAATGAAAATTCATTTTGGCATTCCAGTCAAACTCCATTTTCAGGTAATTCTCATACTTGATAAAGACATCTAAGGCTAACAGATTATTTTCTGGCATAGACTAGACCACTCTCTGGCAAGTCATTTTTTCAAACATAAAATTTGGTCTCTCGAAGTAGAACGGGATAATTCATCTTAAATATTCTACACATTTAACCTAGCAACAGTAATGGTAACATTTTGGTGCCTAATAGGGATAGTGTTTAACGCTTACTGATTTTAATATCCAAAATATCTTCGGTGAGAAGTTTAAGAAAAACTCATTTTTTTCAACTTCAAAACATGGTAAGAAAACATGAACTTAAATGCCAGGAAAAAAAAAATGTCTGTGAACAAGTAAATATCTCTTTATCTTTAGTGTTATTGCAATTTAACTAGTGAGATAATCAGAATTTAACAGTATGTGTGAGATAGTGTACTTTTTAACAGTAGAAAACCAACTTTTTCTAGAAGCATGTTCATATATGTTTGAGCAGAACTTAAATTTTTCACATTGAAAGATGACAGGTTCTCTGAGAACATCATTTTGCTGATTAATTTAGTTATAGTATTCTTCCCTGTGCCCCTACCAGACAAACTTCATGGTTCATATACACTAACTTCTGCTGTCACTGCTGAAATGTGAATTGACACTAAAATGGTTCCTCTTTTATTGCTAAAATTTATCATGATGTAACTGTATTACCAGAACATTCAGAAAGTGATGCTGTCAACATTATGTTGTTTTGGCACAGTGGGAAAAGAAAGTATTGGTGAAAAATAAAATAAAATAAGACTTGAAAATTGCTTCCAGGACTGTGTAAGTGATACAAAATGTGGAGACAACTCAGCTTGATTCTCTTTTAAGGCAGAACCATAGCATATGTCATCTTAAATACTTACAGTTTTAACTCCATGGAGTAACTACTGTAGCTTCAGGAATTGAAGAAAAAAAAAAGCACACATATTTTGAAATCAGTTTTCTTTGAAATTTATAATCTTACCTTTTCTGCTTTTTTCCCCTCAGATTTCCTCTGATTTAGGATAAAATGGAAGCAAGGGAAGCAAAGGAAAACAAAACAAAACAAAAACAGAAAAATATCAGCTGCAATTTGGTTACTGTAAATACATTTTTTAAAAAAGCATGTTAATATTCCCAGTGTAATAGTACACATTTTGTTCTTCTGTGGAAACTGCTTTCATCTGCTACATTCTTCAGTGGTTTCAGTAAAGAGACATAATAGCATTGTAAATCTCCTGCAACAATATGAAGAGCCACATGAAAAGATTCAGCTGGCATCAAAAAATTAAGTTACATGCTTAGCCCACATAGACATTATTCAAGAAAAAGCACCCTTCCAATTAGATTTTCTCTTATCATATCACTTATTTTTTAATCCATTTTTAAATGAATGTGTCCTTATTTCAAGCATGAACACATTTCTTTTTTTTTTTTTTAAGTGAGAAGAACTACGCTGGTTGAACGTTTGTGAATTGGGAACAAAACATAAGAAATATCAATACAGCATCAGAATACTATCTCTAAATGTTAAACCAATAATTGTGGTGATTCTTAGTGGCATCTTATTTTGACTCTGTTTAACTAAGTCCTTTTTAAAACCATCATGGTAAAGTCGTTTTGTTCATTTTATTTGAAATTTTTTTTCCCTTAATCATCTTCAAGACACTGGTTAATTTACTTTTTAAGACTCCGGAAATATTTAGGCTACGTGTCCTTTTAGATTCATTCTCCTTTGTAGAGGATGAAAATACCATATAAGTGCATCAAATGTCTACATTTCTAGCTAATGATGCTCCCAAAAGTTCTTTCTCCTCATTTTTTGTCTCAGTTCCCTATTGTTGGGAAAATGGAACAATTTGGTCAGACTCCCCTCACCTCGGAGCCAGTTCAGGGTCATTTGGTAACATTATGTGTGTGGGTGGAGTTTGTGCACCTTCAAGGCAACACCACTTTGGCTGGTTTTTACTGCTTTGGGTGTCTGCCCTGCGTGGCCATGTTTTTTCCAGACCTGCAGCTTCCAAGGACCACGCGGCTGGTTGCCTAGCTTATAGACCTGCATGAAGGGGTCTGGTGACCCAGCCTGGCATGTGAAGGTTTTGTGACCCAGTCTGTGAATGGGCTTGAGGGGTCTGGGATCTTCAGACCCAGCCCTAGCTCAACCATTGGCTCAGTTGGTGCAGGATTACCAGCAGGTAAAAGAGCCATGACAACTAGCATGGTTGCCTAGCTTTACAATTAGTGTCATGAACAGGATTAAGAGCTAGACAATTGGTGCTGTGAGCAGGATTCCAGACAGTAGCCTTAGCAGTAGCAAGACAAATTGGTGTAGTGGGCAGGATTACACCAGGCAAATTGGCATCGTTGGCAGGATCACACCACAATTTCCATAGTCTGTGACAGGATTCTGAGCAGGTACAGGAGACAAGAAGCCCTTGGAAGAAGGAGGAAATGTGGCTATTTGTGAATATGCTGTGCCCTATGGCCACCTTCCTGTTGACTGGGACCTGGTTGCTGCACACTATACTGCAAGGCAGCATAGACTAGGTACTACAACACAAAACCCCTTGGGAGGAGGAGGAAATGTGGCTATCTTTGAGTGTGTGGTGCTCGGTGGCAACTTTTCTGTTGACTGGAGCCTGGCTGCTGCTCACTCTGCTGCAAACTGATCAAGATTTGAAGCAGAAAGCAGAGTTGTTTGCAGATGATTTGCAGCTACTGGCAGATTTGAGGCAGAAAGCAGAATTGTTGGAAGCACAGATAAATGTCCTGGAGGACGATGTGTGGCAACTGGCCACCCCTGCCCCTCACACCAGGGAAGATGACCAACCCAGTTGTGAGTTGGGGGAAACCATACATCTCCAGGCACTACCTGTTCTGCATGAGAAATTGAGGCATGAGCAGCCTATGGGACCAGATGGACAACTGGTGAGCAATCCACAGGTGACCCAGTTCACTACCTATGTCGCATATGCCCAGGTTGAACTGGTTGACTTGGTTAGACAGTTCAGGCAGAAACATGGGTAGACTCTGGCTGCTTGGCTCTTGTGGTTATAGGATATAGGGGTGGATAGTGTAATGTGCTTTGGTGAGGAGGTGGAGAAATTGGCCTCCATCACCATGCACCCGTCCCTGAGGCAACGGCTGAAAAATAGCTGCAAATATGCAGCCAGATGAGGTAACCACTCCATGATGGACTAGGTGAATGCAGCTGCCCAAACTGTGTGGCAAAATGCTGGAGAACTGCCCAAGATTGTTAGTAAATGAAAAACGTATGCTGAGCTGGTCCAAATCATTTGAGAGCTGGGGATGCAGCAGTCCATGTTTAATGTGAATACTCGTGGCCCAGATGATGAGATCTTTACAGGCAGCATGAGAGACATAGCGCTGCAGAATGCCCCAACAATGTCCTTTGGGTCACTGATGGCCATACTGGACCCATACATTGGTCATCCTATACATGTGGTAACGACCATGATAGCTGGCTTAGGTGAAGTAGAGGATAGAAGACAAGCAAAAGGGGTCCGAAAGGTGGCTAAGACCAAACCCCCAAGAAACACTCGGGATTTTATCCTGAAGGGACCAAGCAAGACTAGCCATAACCAGATGCGGCTTGACTTGTTTGCAGCAGGGGTTGATAAAAAGAAAATTGACCAGCAGCCAAATGCAGTTCTGTTTGCCTTGTGGCAGCAATTGCACCCTGAACAGCATTTCACCAAACATTGGGAAACAGGTAGCAAGGTATGATCAGTGGATTTAAAGGACCTTTTGGCTGCTCCTGAGGAGGCAAAAGAACTGCTCAATTTCAAATAGGGAACAGGCCAATGTACTCATCTTTTGGAGGCAAGTGAAGACCAGAGGCCTCATGTTGAATTGGCAATACACTGGTTGAGGACAAATGTGCAGTGTGTTGTGGCATTGGTGGATACAGGTGCAGAATGTAGCCTGATACATGGCAATCCAGATAAGTTTCCAGGGGCCACAGTTCATATAGATGGCTATGGAGGACATACTACTGAGGTCAAAGCTGTGTCATTGCCATTGGGCATAGGAAGATTACCTTCTCATGTATATACTGTATATATATCTCCCGTAGCTGAATACATCTTGGGTATGGATGCACTTTATGGTTTGCACCTGCAAATAACAGTTGGAGAGTTTCAGCTGCAAATATGGACAGTAAAGCCTGTGTTACGAGGGTATGCTAAACATGACCCACAGGTGTTATCCAAGCCATGACATGTAGTTAATGTAAAGCAGTATCACATACCAGGAGGACATGCAGAGATAAGTGCCACTATATTGGAATTAGAGAAAGTTGGTATTTTTTGCCCAGGTCAGAGCCCATTTAATGCTCCGGGCCAGTGAAAAAGCCTGATGGTACCTGGAGAATGACTGTAGATTATCGAGAACCGAACAAAGTAGTGCTTCCTTTGCATGCAGCTGTGCCTTCAGTTCACAACTTGATGGGTCAGCTGATGACTCAGCTGGGAGCTTATCATTATGTACTGGACCTTGCAAGTGCTTTTTTTCTCCATTCCAATCTTGGCTGATAGCCAAGATCAGTTTGCCTTCACCTGGGAAGGAAGGCAGTGGACCTTTCAAGTATTGCCTGAAGGTTATCTGCATAGCCCAACCATCTGTCATGGTTTGGTGGCTGGAGACCTAGCCAAGTGTACTATGCCCAGCATGGTTACAATGTTTCACTACATTGATGATGTGTTATTAACCTCTGATTCTCTTGCAGATTTAACCCAGGCAGCTCCAACACTGCTAAGGCATTTGGAACAATGTGAGTGGGCTGTGAACACAGCCAAAGTGCAAGGACCTGGGCTGTGAGCCAAATTCCTGGGAGTGGTCTGGTCAGGTAAGACGAGGGTCATCTCAGAAGCTAATATAGATAAGATACAGGCATACACTTGACCCACAACGGTAGCTCAGCTACAGACATATTTGGGACTTTGGGGGTATTGGAGAGCTTTTGTACCCCATATGGCCCAAATGGTACACCCACTATATCCACTGACAAAGAAAGAAACCCTCTGGGATTGGAATGAAGAAGTAGAAAAAGGTTATCGGGCTACAAAAAGGACAATACAGTAAGTACAAGCTTTATAAGTGGCCAACCCCACTAAGCCATTTGAGTTAGATGTACATATAACTCAGAAGGGGTTAGGATGGGGTTTGTGGCAGAGACAAGACCAATTCCACACACCTGTAGGATTCTGGTCTCAGCTCTGGAAGGGTGCTGAAGTTTGCTACATCCTAATAGAAAAGCAGTTAGCAGCTGTGTATTCTGCCTTGATAGCCACTGAAGCTATCACAGGAACTGCCAAAGTCCTAGTAAGGATGACATACTCCATAATCGGTTGGTTGCACACATGGGCAACCAACCCTAAAATGGGTGTAGCTCAGACTCCCACTCTGTCTAAATGGGGAGCATATATAGAACAAAGGAGCACTGTGTCAACGAGTCCTCTGTCCAAAGAGTTGCAAACTGTGCTAGGCTCAGTAGAGATTCTGGAGGAAACTTTGACACAACTGTTATCCATGGAGGTGGAGGCTACACCTTTCCATGAGGGACAGGGACCTACCACAGAGCAACCTTGGTATACAGATGGCTCTAGCATGGGACCCTCAGCATCAGGGACAGCTGTTGCTGTCCAGCCCTTAACAGACCCCATGTGATATGAAAATGGCATAGGGCA